GGAGTGGCCGAACCCCGAACCACGACGGTTCCTGCACTGCGCTCGGGAGTCAGCGACTTGAATCGCATTCCTGGCCACGGCGAACATCGCCCCCCTCACCCCCCTACACGAATGCGCGAGGTGAAGTATGGACAAACAACTGCCACGACCGACGCGGCGTGGAAGAAGGCATCGTCCATCAGTGGACTATGAGCACAGCCTCCTCGCTGCAGTCAGCACAGATCGCTCCCGCTTGGTCGAGCGTTTAGGTGTCTCGGTGTCGTGGTGGTAGCGGTGGTGGTGATGATGAGCCCTCGTGTCTTATCCCAGGGATTTTTAATTTGCTATCGTAAGACAAAAGCACAATGCCGGCCGGGCTGAGCCGAACCGGTGCTTGGTCCTCACCCAGCCCGCACTGGTGAAGTACGGTCAAACAATCCCCCACGACCGACACGACGCTTGGTGAGGCCTTCACCCAGTAGCGGATTAACAGCGGTGGCTGTAAATGTGCATTGTTGTTGTTGTACAAATGTATTCAACGTTCACGCGCCTGCGCTGCTCGGCGTGCGCTGCCGCTAACTCGCCGTCGCTTGAAACTCCTCGCAGCCCTCGTGCGTGTACAGCGGGGGTCCGTCTCAACGTCGCAGCGACGTCCGGTACGACGTTCGCGCGCTCGCGGAAGGAGGAGCGCCGCGACCCGGCGTGCGCCACCTTCTTCTCGCCCGCGCCGCTGCCCTTCCTCGCGTGAGCCGCGCGTCACTGCAGACGAGGAATGGGTGCAGCTTGGAGATGGTAGCGGGGGGTGGTGAGAGTGTGTGGGGGGGGGGGGGTCGTAGTGGTTTGTGCGCTGCGCTATGAACCACGCTCGCCGAGGTCGATTCCCGCTCAAGGTCACAAACACCAGTGACGATTATCTGAACGGGTCTTGGGCCTCCCCTAGGTCGACTCAGCCTCAAATGAGTATCTGGTCTGGTATGTAAACATTGCCACTGGGGAGACAAAGGCGCCCGGGTGTGGTCCTGGCCACCCAACCCCTCGTGTGCCGTCCCAGACTTTATAGGTAGTCGCTAACAGCACTTTCCCCAAACGCCTGTTGAGGCTATACGAGGGATATTTGTTGTGTGTGTGAGAGTGACTGTGTATAGGTTAGCGCTCTGCACTTCAAACCCGGCGAGCCGCGTTCATATCCAGCGCAGGGCGAATATAAATCAGTGTTGTCCTTCCCCCGCACCTCCGATAAGCACGGTTGGCTACGTATGATGCGAAATAAATTCAACATACATACAAACAAAATATCTGCACCAGTACTGGACCATTCCTGAACCTCCCTTAGGTCAACTCACCCTTAAATAAGCTTCTGGTGCCATGCGTAAACATCAGCATCGTGGATACAAAGGCATCCGGGCGTGGTCTTGGCCTCACCAACCTCCTCGTACGTCGTGCCATCCTTCGTGAATGCCACTGGCTAACAGCGCTTGTCCCAAATTGTCCGTGCGGCCTACACGGGGAAGCTTTGCCTTTGTGAGTGGGTGGGAGAGAGCGGCGCGTTTGTGCGTCGTCGTCTCGCCGGCACCACTACTGGCGAGCGAGTCAGGGCAAGTTAATCAGATAGACAACACTAACGAAGGATAACGAATCTCACCGAGAGGCCGCGTGACTGGGCGATGACCCTACGGAAAGGGAGAGTGAGAGGGGCAGAGGGAGCGAGCGGGAGAGAGAACGCGAGAGAGTGGAGGACAAGACATGGCCAGGGGGCATGAACGAGCATTTGTCAGTCTAATAACGGCGGAACAATGGACGCTGCTGATGACTGGGGGGGGGGGGGGGGGTGCATAGCGGAGGCTGGGGGGGGGGGGGGCGACACGGGGAGGCGACGCGGGGAGAGGAGCGCGAATGAAGCGCGCTGGGGGTTTCGCCTCCGCGCGACGCGTGAGTGTTGTGCGTGCGCGTGTACGTGGGGAGCGGTGGCGCAGCGGTTAGCGCGCACGGCGCGACGGAATCGGCGACCCCGAGGTTGATTCCCGCTCACGGCCAACAACAACAGTGGCGAATGATCTCAACCGGTCCTGGGCATCCCTTTCGGTCGGCTCGGCCTCAAATAAGTACCCTGGTGCGGTGGACAAAGGCGGCTGGGCGTGGTTCTGACCACCCACCCCTCGTGTGCCGTGTCCGTCTTCATCAGGTGCTCGCTAACAGCACCTATTCAAGGCTATACGGGGGGATCTTTTTATTTCTCTTTGTGCGCGCGTGTGTGCGCGTGCGTGGGGATCTGTTAGGTCTATGCGTTTAATGAGTGACCACCGTGAGGTGTGTATGCATCGCCTGCGCACATTGACAGTGAGTAATTAATAATAGTTATTTCCGCTCGTTATTATTGCGAATTATTGCGAGTGTAAACCTGGTGGGTAACGTGACGGCGGTGGGAGCGGCGGTGGTGTGGTTAGCGGGTTGCACTACGAACACCGGAGATCCCAGTTCGATTCCCGGTCACCCGGCCACCACAGATGGAGAGTGATGTCTGAACCAGTCCTGGGTGCCTCATGCACATAGAACGTACACCATTCCGTGAGCATATTAAACCGGTCCTCTTATTTCTTCATTGGCTACCGGTCAAATTCCGAGTGGATTTTAATATACTGCTACTAACCTATAATGCTTTAAAAGGACTCACCCCGCATTACTTTATTTTTGCAGGAACGAATACATTCATATATTCCATCAAGGTCCTTAACATCTTCTGATCTCCAACTGCTCAGCACTCCCAGGTCTATGTTGCGCTCTTTTGGCGATCAGGCTTTTGTTAGCGTGGCACCCAAGCATTGGAACGATTTGCCACTTGAAATCAGGAAATCAGAGTCGGCTTGAAACCCATCTCTCTAAAGTGGCCTTCCCTCTTTAGTTTGGTCGGTTGCCCCTGGCTCTTGTTCTGTTTCCTGCTTTCCATGCGTTGCGCATTGGAATTCTAGGATGGAATGCGCATTACAAATTGTAATTATTATTATAATTATGATAACCGTTCACCAACTCACCCGAGCTTGGTGAATTATGGTCAAATGACCGACACGGCATGGGGAGGCCTTCATCCAGAAGTGAATTAATAAAGGGCCGCAAAGTTACGATTAATCACAATCATCGTCCCTTCCGTCAACTTAGGAGTAAACCATGATGCTGAAATAGATGAAAAATATTTTTTTTCGTATGTAAGTTGAACTTCTTTCGCACCGTACGTAGCCAACCGTGCTAATCGGAGGAGCGGGGTAAGGACAACAAACTGCACACATAAACGTGGCCATGCTATAATTATAATTCCACTATACCATGATCACTGACGTCTTAGAGAAAGGACATTGGTATGGGTAGAGACAGGGAGAGATACCGTGAGCGTGAGGCAAACCTTACGAGTAACAGGTTGGTTTGAAACAAATTAAAACACTCCGTAAGTGTGTCTCTGTTCTCACAAATTTCGTGCCCATTCAATTATGTTACTCTGATTAACATACATTTAAGAGTGCATTCTGCTACACACGTGTGTGTGTGTATCTATCCCCCACCCCCCCCCGCTTTCGTTATAAACGCACGCTAATTTCATTAAATAAATTATCTCTGCGTAACGTTCGGTCGTCAAGTCACCCTCCTCGCCTTACGCGCATCCACGCGAGTGCGCGTGGAACGGAACGCATTCATCACCATGATGCAAGCGCCAAAGCATCGGCGCTTGCATCATATCCCGAACCTAGATCGGCGCTCCGTAATTGACTGTCACTGAGACCAAGGAAAGATCGTGACGGACGCGACGATTGGGGTTAACAGCTGATGCTTCGCACCTCCTGCCACGTGACGCCGCGCCCACGTTTCTCGCGGGATCTGCGGGCTGCCCCCGCTATACTGCACCCTTGGGTGAGTGCCAGGGGTTGCACCCTTACTCCCCGAATATTATACTGTACCGTCAGTACAAGGACTGTGCACGTCTGTGGGTCACCGCTGGACTCGAATTTGTGGCGCGTGACTGGCAGTGGCAGTCGTAACGAGAGGTAGCACTGGCAGTGTTCCTGGAGGCCACGGGCAGCAATGCCACATGGGCCCCCCACCCAATATTCCACCATTCACAAGCCCGCTGTGGGGTCCCCTTTTGTGTGAGGCCCCGGGGCAAATTGCCAATTTTGTCCTCCTTCTCGCCTCTCCTCTGGGCAGCCCTCTATACCGGATGTGGAGTGTGTGCCAGGCACAGGAACAATATCCCTGGGTCGATGGTGCGCCCAAGTAGGTGGGCACGTAGCCACACGTGTACCGTAGGTGGGTGGGTGTGTGCCGGGCGGTGCAGACATGTATCGGTCCGTCGATTAGGGCCGAGCCGGCTCAAACGAGAGTTCCTCTCTGGTTCACCAACTTCGCCCTTCTCCGACGCAGCGTGGACGATACGAGCGGCGCGCATTGCCGCGGCTGTCCGGGCCAGCGACACGGAGACCATTTCCTTATCCAGCACGGCAGCGCAGACAGTCCTCTCTCTATACCTCTTCTCGCTGTGGCTGTGGATACTCGTCAAGTTTTATACTTCAGTCTACAACAGTGAGCTGGCACCAACAATTATGCGGTGAGAAATTGATTCTTGCGCGCGTCCCGTACAGACAGAACCCGTCACGGGCATTTATTTCAAGACGGTAGCGCTGTGACGGTCAAACTTTACAAATTTTGGGTTAAAGTGACAAAGGTCTTTGGCGTGCCATGTGATTGACCCTACTTTTATATTCCACATGGATATTGCCGACTCAATGACTCTTTTGGGTTGGGCCACTTGATAATAATCTGGCCCAAAAATGTTTCGTGACAGCCTCGGCCACCAGCGGTAAGTTGAACAAATTCCCCCCCAAAAAAACTAATCTGGCAAATGTGTATACCACGCGTAATTTAAAACTACGTCAAAACACCATCGTCAGGGACAAGCACCATCAGGGCAAGTGTCCAAGGCAGTCGCAATACAGATGCAGGAAGACGCAAGGACATTGCTGTTCGACTATAAAAGTGTGTGTGTGTGCGTGTTCCTTAACGCTCCATCGTCGGGGCACGGGTTTGGGAATCGTGGACGTCGCGCCTTCGTGGTTTAGAAGCGCCGAGAGGAGCCCGTGTCTAATATTAAATCGTTTCTATTTTTGGCGGGGGGGGGGGGGTTAAAACAAAAGGTACAAATAAAGCCGTCCCGGCAAGCGACAGGGAAGAGAGTGGCTGTGTCATGCGATCAGCCCTTCAACCTTCCACACACACAGCCCGCCCACAAGGGGCCCAATCAAGCCCCACTGACAGGCCAAATTACATTAGACTCCTTGTAGCTAGCGCAAATTACGCTGGCTGGGACGCTCCTCGGAGAGTGATTAGGGAGCGGGAGAAGAGCATGAGTGCAGGCGGTTCTTCTAATTATCACCGGATTGGCGAGGGATAAAGAGAGAGGTGGGTTGAGAGGGAGAACACGGGAGAGAGAGGGCGGTGGTGGGGGAGGTAAAAGAGCTAGGGACGGTGGGCCGGGTGAGAGAGAGAGAGCGTGCGATGCGAAGAGAGGGGAGCGAGACAGAAGTCGAGGCACAGGAGGGACGGTCTGGAGAGACTCTCCCTCATGTGCCAGGCCTAATTAGTTACCTGTTTACCTGCCGTCGTATGTGCTTGGACCTGGCGTTGCACAACAATGGCCGTGTCCGCCTGCCACTCCCAAAGTGACGGCGGCTCTGAGAACGGCGCACGCGACGGGAGCCGCCGCCGCCTCGCAGGAATAGCGAGCGGCGAGCGGGGCCACACAGCATGCGGTCGGCGTGGTGTGCCCGCGAGGTCGTCGTCGTCGTTGCGAGAGACCGGGAGGAGGAGGAGGGAGAAGTTGTTTTCGTTTTGCCTCCACATTGCAGGGCGACTTTTGTTGCGGCCCTCATGTTGAGGCGTGAGCCGCCTGGCCGGAGTGGAATCACGACACAACGCCACCTGGATACACGTCGGGTGTAGATGCGCCCAGCATTCGCAAAATGTACAAACTTTATTTCGTGTGTATATTATTGTTTTTTTATTTATTCCAGGGACTAAGTCGTAGGCAGAGGGAACGCGTGAAGGCCTCAAGCCTGGACTCGGCTTGGAGTGGGAAGTCTTCGGGGCAACGCGCCACCCGCGCCTGCGATTTTAAGGTTGTTTCTTTTATTTTGTGTGCAAGCGTCAACTCCCGGAGTGATGCGACGTTATGTTGTGTTCAAAACACGTTCGAAAAATCTTGAGTCAAGGGCGTTTGTGGAATCTTAAAAAAAAAATTAAAGGTGCAGCGCCGCAATTTCTTGCTCACGCCACTGCTGTCAGATGGCCAAACAACCAGAGGGAGCTCTCTAGAGACCCCGTTGACTCGTGGAGGATGTAAGAAAGAGCTGGATGTGCCCACACTTTATCCCATTTCTACTGCTGGGTGGACAAAGGTGAAGGGGATTTAGGAAACTCGCTCCAATGATTCAGCCGCGCCGGGAGTTCAGTTCAGTTTCAGTTCAGTTTATTTTGGTATAGGCCCGTGAGCCATTCGGCTCTTGAATCGGGTTGCAACCACAACAAAAACACGAACAAGAAAAACATCTTAAAGTAACTATGTGACTGTGCAAACAGAAAATACATGGAAAAAACAGCAAATATATTCCTGAAAAAAGCACCGTACACACCAACGCTGTGTGCAAAAAATCCCAGTGGGATGCAAGTCAAACAACAACCACAAGAAAACTTAGAATAAGGCCATCAGTCTAACTCCGTACTACAACAAAACAAACATATCCAAACCAAAAAAAGTTTTCTAAATAAAAAAATAAAGCCATAATTGCAACGTAACAGTGATCACAAGGACTGTGACCGAATTTTTACAATAAACTACATAAATAACATGTAACACCAAATCCTAGAGCCATAGCTGGCTGCACGAGTTACTCCACAACAACAGAAGCATCGGTCGGAGTATCAAATTTTTCAATGCACCTTTAAGTTTAGCACGCCAAATCAAAATACAGATAATACTTTGCAGCGTCATCCGGAGCGAAACATTTTATTTTACGCCAATGAATAGCAGTGGCAGCTAGGGGTGTGCAACTCCTCTAGAGCAGTTTTGAGAGAAGGTGCCGCTGACCGTGACACCACCGTGGCAGCCTCCCGCGACAATTTCACGAATATTCGTCACGCGGCGGCGTGAAAAACGCCTTGCAGGTGACGCGGGGTCAACCGCGACCTGGCGGAGAGAGAGAGGAGAGGACCGAGAGGGCACTCGGTGGCTTGCGCGCGGCCACCCGTCCCCTCGCCCGTAACACAACCACGCTGATCGACGTCGCGCGGTAACGAGACGGAAGGATCCCTTCGGAAATCTCGCAGATCAGTGCCGTTGACCCTGTGTGTTGGGAGGCGGGTATCGTGCAGAGCTCTCTTTACCTCCGAGATCCCTTTCATGAAGTGACATCTGGTACAACAGGGTAAGGGGGTCAGCACTTTCTCACCCGCTCTGCGTGTGAGAGTGACGCTCGTTGCACGACGGTCGAACCGATGTTTAGATTCTCGGAGCTGGAATTTTTTTTTTTTGCCCAATTAAGTGCAGGACCAAATTGAATGTGATGTGACTTTTTTTTTGTATCCGGTCATTGGTGACCGGGCTGAAACTCACTGCACCCAACTCACTGCACTTGAGAACCCGGTTTAATGGCAGGTGGCACGGACCTTGATTTAAACCCTGGAACTCGGTGGTGCCGGCTCAGAGCTCTGACCTCTGATCCACCCAACCACCTATACATTGACGCAGCCCCTGCCTTCTCATTTACATTCACACGAGGGCTCCTGCGATGCCATGTTTAGTGATGCTAACTTAAATTTAACGATTAGCGCGATAACTTTGCAACTGTGTTTCGCATTTATCCGTCTTGTTTTTGCGCCCTGATGCACTTCAAGTTCGGGTAAAGATCGCTTCATTGTCATTCAACCTCCGCTCACTCAACAGCGATCCTTTTTTCCGAGCAAGTTGTCAGAAAACGATGGCGTCATCGTATCGCCATGACGTAAATTATTCCAGAAAACGTGCCACAAAGCGCTCGTTCAATGAGCATTATCCGTTTCGATTTGCTTTGATCACGATTGTGAACTTACATTTTTGTAGTGTCATAAACATTTTGACAGGAAATTAAATCTTAATGAGCAACGGTAATCAGAACGTAACGATATTTTTCTAATCGGACGATGCTTTTATTGTGCATCCTGCGACGTGCTGCATACACGTCGAAGTGTCGCCCGATCGCGGCAAAGCCCGTTTCACGATGAATGTTGCCTAGCAGACTCCGCAAATAATTAAATTCCAACACTTTTTTTTATGATGAGAAAGCCCATCACAGCAGGAGCTCGCGTGCAGGCTGGAAACAAATGTAAATAACAACACGCAGAGGTGTAGGTGATGGAGTGGGTGAGCGAGTGGATGGGCGAATGAGTGAGCGGGTGGGCGGGTGAGTGTGTAAATTTACAAATATACAAAATGGTGTGTTGCTCACAAACAGCAGGAGGGCAACGCATGAGTCCCAATTCATGTGGCTTGTGTGCATGTCACGCAACCACCCACATTGCACGTACAACGCTGTCAGCCTTGTCCAGACCACTAGCTCATGAGCTGAGCGTGTGGCCGCGTTGTTGACTCTCGCGGTGAAGGAAAGGAAAAAAAAAACCTATGGGGCGGTTGGTATGGAGACCCGGAGCGATGGGTGCAGGCGAGAGCCGTGCTGCCTGACGTCACTCTACCTGTGGAGCGCCGAGCGGAGCCGAGGTGGAAGCTCATTTCTAAATTAGGCGACGAAAATAAATACACCCGAGTGTTTGCTCGGGGAGGCTGAGGAGCGATGGAGACGTTTACTGTACGCGAGCGAGAGAGCGAGGGAGGAAGGGAGTGAGCGTCGAGCCTCTAATTGACGTGTCGCCAGAGTGGCGATTACGCCCATTTGCCCCTCGAAGAGAACGCACCCGCAATCTGCTTGCGTGCCCACGTGTTTGACAAATACCCCCCCCCCCCATTGTGAGTAATTTGTTGGCATTGTGAATTATGATCGTATTGTGTGCGCACGCAAGCGCAGCCTTTGCTGCGCTGCGAACCCGGCCACATTGCTTCGATTCAGTATTGGGTGGTCTTGACCCTCCCCTAGGTTAACTTAGCCTCAAATGAAAATCTGGTGTCTTGGGGAGACAAAAGCAGCTGGGCGTGGTGCTGGTGACACCACCCCATCATGCGCTCTCCAGCCTTAATAGGTGCTCGCTAACAACACTTTGTGTGTGTGTGTGGGGACCAGGTGCGTAGCAATTAAGCACTACCAACCTTGTGACACAATTTCAATTCCAACATTCTCAGCCATGGCCAACATCAGCGGTAGATCTCTGAACCGGTCCTGGTCCTCAGTTTGACTTGGCCATAAATGAGTATCTGGTGCGGTGTCTAAGCATCGGTTACTGTGGGGTTCATGCACACCACCCCTTCGTGTACCGTACCGACCTTCATAACTGTTCGATAACAGCACTTGCCCTTAAAGTCTTTTAAGGCTACACGGTGGGATATTTTTCTTTTGTGCATATACACACGCGTGTGTGTGCACATGGGTCCTGTGGCCATATGTGCAGGGTACCTGACCCACTGCTTAAAATTATTAAGGGCCTTCGTGGAGGTGAGCCAGGTCCAGAAGTCAGAGAGCTATTCCCTGTTCAACTTTCTACACGAATCTTCTCTGGCCCCTCGACTATTTTAAACATTTTTTTCATCCAGTAGTTTGAGATCTTTTCAATGGGAGGCTGATTGATGCCCGGGTGCGGTCAAGAGATGGCTCTCTACTGGTTAACCATGTTATGTTATGCTAATGAGTTGTAATTGCTGCTTACTTTGAGAATGAGTTAGAGGCTCTGCTGCTGAATTTGGAGCATGCCACTAAGTGGTGGGGCTTTAATGTCAACAAGAAACTCCAGGATTCCTCGGCCACAGTTAAGCCCTCTCTTCTTTGTTCTTGCAAAGTGCAGGCTACTTTGGTTGGAGGCACCAAAGTAACACCTGCACCAGTTTGAAGCATTCAGGCTGGGCCTGCCTGTGATCCATTACACACAACACCTGGGTCTGTCCTGTGACCGCCCGTCAGCACCGAGCCTTCGACGCTTCACGTGGCCTCCAAGTGCACCTAGCGTGGCACAGGCCATGCGGTGATGTCATTACCATAGTGGTGAATGGCGGCTTTTGTTGTTTCCTTTTGTGTGTGTGTGCATGCACGGGTGTATTGTGTGGTGCCTCGCATCTCCTGCCCGCCTTCATAGGTGCTCGCTAACAGCACTTGCCGAAACAGTCTGTTAAAGGCGATACAGGAGAGCTTCGTCTTTGTTTATTGTTCATGGCAACAGAGAATGTATTTACCATGATTCTACACACACACACGTACCAGCTGCGCATTCACATGCCCAATTTTTATCGCCATCTATGACTAAGGGCAACGAAGGAGGGGGAACCTACACAGCTAATGATTCTGAAATGTCAGAAAAATATTTAAATTAAAGATGTAAAAAAAAACATTTTTCCAGTGAAGACAAAACCCATGCATTGCTTTCCGCACGGCATCCAAAGCAAGCCTTGTTTGTCTGCGTATCGCATCGCATGCCAGGGAGAGAAGGAGAGAAAAAAAAGCTATTCGCACCTTCCGGAGAGGTGTCAAATCATCAGAAGGTGAGATGTCCCAGAGTGCGGTAGACACGGATAACATCACGTCTGCCTAATGGTTGGAGGCACCAGAAGAACGGCGGCCCGCACCGCCGGGCACCAGCGCCGGGGAAGCCGGGTGCCGTCCCTCTCCCACGTGGCGCTCGGAGCTGCTGGCTCCCAGCCCCTCACCACCGCCGCCACCGCGAGTCTCCGAGTAGCGGCTTCCGACCGTAAGCGCCGAGCCGCTCTGCGGGTTTCGCGTGAGAGCCGCCAAACCCCCCAACTCTCCCCATTGCCGCCGCCAGGCCTGGACGAAAGCTTGGGTCGTAACGCGGCAGCCAAGAGTGGCTGTCGTGCACAGATGTTACAGTTGGCTGCGGGACGCGGTCGTGACACGAGGTGTGAGCTTGTGAGGGATACGGGGTCTGCGTCGTTGGGGGGGGGGGGGGGTTGCGGTGGCCAGAAATGGAATTTTGACATCGCCGTCCTCGTCAGTTGTCGTCCATGATCGCGGTGATCGTCGTTTGGAACTTTGTCGTTGGATCATCGTCAACATTAAAATTACTGATTTGACACCGGTAACCCAAGTGGCGAGTGATATCTCCACCGCTCCTGTGGCTCCCCCAAAGGCGAATCTAAAACTTCCAAAGCCGGGGGGGCGGCAGTCCAAAAATGCCAATATTTTTATAAATGGGGTCTCAAGGGGTAGGCAATCAACCCCCCCCCCACCCCCTTAGATCTGCCACTGGGGCCTGCCTTCTATAACCTACACTGATGAGCGTAATGAAGTATGGTCAAACAACCGCCCCCATGACCGACACGGCATGGGGAGGCCTTTATCCAGCAATGTGTTGACAATGGGCTGTAATCATTATTATAGATATTGATACAGTGCAAATGCGCTGCGGAATTTGATAATATTAGTAGGCGGCAAAAACAACTGAACCACCACTCCACACCCCGCTATCGTAGCCGATTCACTTTCCTAAGCATTTGTCATAATTAGTTTAGATTAACTGCTGAAACGGGAGCTCATACTCCCCAAATGTTTAATTTGCGGAAGTGAGCGGGGATTTGTCCCCTGCTGAGGATGACTTCCCACGGCCGTCTCCGTCGGGCAGCATGGCGTGACCAAACTTGTGCACGTGCCAGCCAAGACGGCAATACTTTCACAATAAAAACCCTCGGAAGTTCCGTCCTCCGTTACTAAATATTTGCCGCGTTTTGTGCGACAGCAATAATGGAGTAAAATGCGCACACGCAGCACGACGCCGCGGCGTATCCCACTCGCCCGCGACTGGGATATAGGCGGATAGGTGAAACGGTCGGATATGTTACGGCATCGCGCGCAAATACTGCACTGTGTCTGGGTGGTTAATTGGTCAGGGCGGGCATGTGACGGTGGGATATGCGACATACTGAACCACCGCCAAAAAATACCTCCTCTTAAACGTAACACCTTCCCCTTCTTTAGCAGGAAATGTATTCAAACTTTGGCAAGGGTGCGCAAGTGTCTCCGCAGATCTCTGTCTCCCTGAGCTGGCGTTGAAGCCATGGGAGGGAGCGGTGCAGTGGAGCACCCACTCGGCTGGAGGAGACGATCGCACGCGCACGCACGCACGCAACACCGGCGTGATGCGGAACACCGCCTCGGGAGAGACCCGCTGCTGCTGACGGTGATTTGGCGTGCGTCCCCAAGCGCGCGGCCGCGGCTTTGGCCGCCTTGAACCTTTGCGTGACCTCCAAAATGTTGAGCCCTCCGGCAGGGGTGAATGGTCGCGGCCAAGAGTTTGCGTTGGGGCCATTAGCTAGCGGGCGGAAATTAACCGCCGTCTCACCCCACAACCGGCCCGAGCTGTCAGTTCGGGGGTCTCTGCCGTCTTGAGATTTGGTGTTCGGTGCCAAGAAGGATAAAATAAATATATATCCCCCAAACACCACAAAACAGGATTGCATAGGTGATAACTGGCCCCCGTAACCATTTGTCTCTTGCCCTCACTTGGCAACAAGTCTCCGCAGCGTTTTACGAGCGATCGTTTGCGGTTGTAGGGGGGATGGCGCGCCACCCGAGCGAGAGGGACCCGCGATCGTAGACGCGCGACCGCAGTGGCTCCGAGCGTCGCCGTGCCGCGTTCCCCTTGAACTGCGGCGCGCCGAGACGCCCGCGAGCGTTTCGCTCCGGCGAACGGGCGGGCGGGCGGGCGGGCGTTGAGTTAAATTGCAAATAACGGCCACTTAGAAAAGCACGGAGCGCGCGAGATGCTGTTCCGCACGCGCCGCTTAAACAAAAGACGGGTGCGTCGCACGATCCAGCTCAACTTTTTCCCCAAAGCGAAAATGTTACTAAGCACACGAATGTAAGGCACGCTCCGAGGGCACAACCGCACAAAGATGCAAGCAAACGCAAAAGCTCTGCCTCGGACGAATGTGAGATAAGAATGGAGGTCATGAGTGGTGTCTGGGTGGTACTGGGAGCCCAGGTCCATTGCAAATTGTGCGATGAAAATGGAGCGAGTTGATAAAATAACTATCCTAATGCTACCTATTCAACCTATTATTACATTTTCACTCGTTTAACCTGTTGTTAACTAAGCCGGGAAAGGGTGGATGGGAAGGGGATGAGGTGGGGGGGGGGTCCTGCAATCCATCCAGGGAAGTGAGACGGGGCGTGAAGGTAAGGCTCTCTCCCATACCTTCACAAAATTGTCCTTCCGTTTTGGTTTAGCACTTTTAAACGTGCTTTGTGTGATGGACAACTCGATGAATTTACGTTTAAGCCTAACTTTGAGGCAACTTTCAGCATATCAAATTGTATGTTTTTGTGTCGTGAGCAGTAGAGGCGTGTGTGTTTTTCACAGGACTTCAGCATGGGACTGGCCAGGCGTGGTGAGCAAGAAAAGCCAATTATAGCTAACCCGCATGCCAGGATGCGTTACACAAAGGACAGTGAGATTGTGAAACTACCTGCAGCTACGGTTAATTAATTTACGACGGCTTGAATCCACGACGCTACGCAGGTTCTCGCTCGGGTCGTGCCGTGCGTTCCACCGATTTCCGACGTTTCGCCCCTCATGCCAGCGGCTTTAATGAAATCCATTATTGTTATGATAAATTCTCCAAATATGTGAGCCTGAAACCAAATGAACTTCACGGAATAGCACGTTGAAAATATCACAATTGAGTCCTGTAACACAATATATTTGACTGAACATTGTACAATGTAAATAATATACAGCCACGTGTCCATCCACTACTGGATGGCAGCTTCCCAATGCGGGTGTTGGTCGTGTGGGTTAATTGACCATATTGTCCTCGACCGGTTCAGACATCATTTGCCACTGAGGCCTGATAATCATTGCATAAGCGCTAACCGCTGTACCACCACTCCACCTGCGGGATCTCTATCTTTACCATATATACATATACCTTGCAGTGTATCCTGGATTACAGAAGGATGATTCTCATCATTTGACGATGTTCAGAAACCGTAACATTGACAGCAGCGCAATGGGCACACCTTTTTCAATGCAGGAAAGGTATATCCGGGGTCGTTCATTTCATTAGCATCACCACCACTGTCATAACTCCCTTATTCTCTTGCATAGATTTGATTAATTGTAAGTGTGAGCTCAAGTCTTGGTGTGTGCCGGCATGTGTGTGTGCACGTGTGTGTGGTGTCACCTTTTGTGTAGCCATCACAACTGCGGAGACAAAGGTGACCAGGCATGGACCTGGTCACCTAACCCCACGTGTGGCATGCCGGCCTTCATAGGATCTTTGTCCTTTACATATACCTCGAAGTGTATGCATGCTTGTGTATACATGGTCACGTGCACGTGTGTCAATGCTCCCTGCACGTGGGTACACGCTCGCACACGCGTGTGTGTACGCGCTCGCGCGCATCGGTAAGCCCGCGTGCGTGTATGTACAAGCTCTTGCACGGTGCGTGCTGCGCGCACCGTGCGCCGACGAGACGGCGGACGCTCGGCTACACGCGCGCGCCGCGCCTAATTGGCTTCCCCGACTCGGACGCCGCTTCCCGGTCGTGCTCCCAGCTCCGCCTGCGATCACCGCTGACGGCCGCCGCTCGGCTCGGTCTCCACCGCTGCCGCCACGGCGCGAGGTTACGAGCTCCCATCCCCCCCCTCTCGCTCCGACCCATCGAAGTGAGACGTTCGCCACCACTCGCACTCGGCGCGCGCGCGCCGGATAATCCACGCCGCCAAATGTGTTGCTTCCTCTGCCTCCGCTCGTCAAAGGGGTCGAAGTATTGAGGCAGCGGTCGCGGGGAAGGCGTGCGTTCATTACAGTTCCTGGCGGAGTCACGCTCGTTCCCTGCAAGTTGTTTGTTTTCACAGATGAGTGTCTGCGTATGTCCGCGTTGGTTGTTTGTGAATTCGAATCTTTGTTGACGGTCCGTGTCATCATTTCTCGGTACAGATGTCGTGGTTTACTCGCGTATCCTAGTGGCTTCCTTGGGCGGCTCGTGCTAACAATACCATTCCGCTTCTAATTATGATAATATTAATACGTTTTGTTGTTTAATATATCCATGCAAAGGTTATCCTAATTGCATACGGATTCATTTATCAGATTATTATTTGTTTAATGTCAGAATAACAATTCCTACCTTCCTGCTGAGCGAATCAAAACAATACATTCTGAGTCTTTGGTTCTTTGGGTAAAGTCACGTAGAATGAGAATAAAATAATAAAATAAAACAATAAAATTCTCGCGACGTTTCGGCCACAACACAAGTAGCCTTCAGGTGAAGGAACAAAACTGTCGGGACGACAGAGCTTTAATGAACGCTGCTAAGATTCGTAGCGTCTTTTAAGCTGGTTGAGAGAAGTGAGGCACCTTGACAAAGGGGTTTACATATCAAACAAGATAATTTATCATTGAAATAGCTGAGGGATTAGCTTGTGACTGGTCACAGAAATAGCTATGTTAAAGTCAAAGCCTACACATCCACAGAGGCACCTAGTACAAATCAAACAGGAGAATTTAGCATTGAAATAGCTGAGGGATTAGCTTGTGACTGGTCAACGAAATAGCTATGTTAAAGTCAAAGCTTACACATCCACCGAGGCACCTCGTACAAGGATGCAAAAAGGGGGCTGCAACAACTCAAATATACAGTAAACCGATGTGAACAAACCTGAGTCTAAATAACATCAATATAATGAATGTACTCAATATATTCTTCAATAATCAGAGCTACTAACAGCAACTGGGTATACACGTGGACAGCATAAACTTGTGCTGTACTGCATCTCGATGTGCCGTCTTGTCGCGCCGCGTGCTGTGTGGTGCAGTGTCCGGCGTTTCGCTCCTCGTGCCGGGACATGGTGCCGCCGAACGGCGCGCGTTACAGCCGTACAAACGATTTGAAAGAGCAGATAGAAGTTGGGTGTTTAATTCGTTACGGAATCCTTGCCAGCGGTTCTATCACTTGTGGTGTCATTGTAAATACCCGCACCGAAAGACAAAGCCCCTACGATGATTAAAAATGGATTGTTGGGTTAGGCCACGTAATGATCTGGCCACATTTAATGTTGTTAAGCCCCTCCACCACCCTTTGTCGCCAAATTAAAGTGTCAACTGCACACGCAAGTTAAGACAAAACATTTACCGGTATCCAATCGGTAAACTTGACCGTGAGATTGAACGTTGTGTCAGCTCACCAACGCGCGAGCTGACACAATCGTTTGTGGCGTATCGTTTGTTGCACACTGGCACTCTGTGTGACAGTTTAATTGGTTTGGCTGTGTCGGGTGGTGGAGGGTCTTACGAAACAGATTCGGCCCACATCATTACGTCGTGTTATTGGCTGCGGATGGCTACGCGTTAAGTTTACCCACCAGTCATGAATAGATAAATGGTAGGAATCATCTGTGGGCTTCAAAGTTGGACATTGTCAGCGTCATCGAAATCCCACATTGGCTGTGCTCTCTCTCTGTTTGTCGACGCCCTGTAGGTGCGTGATGATGTCACAGCAGTGAGCGCCCTCTCCACGATGGCGGTCCCACAATGGTGGCAGCTGTGACCGGTGGCTCGGTGAGACATCGTCAGGAGCGCGGCGGAGCAGTTGATGGCGCGGATGATGGTGCAGGTGATGGTGCAGGTGGCGTCAAAGTGATGGCGCAAGTGGTGGTACAGGTTGGTGGTACAGACAGGTGTTCTACAAGTGATGGTGCGTGTATTGGTTCAGATGGTGATGCAGGTGATGATGCAGCTGGTGATCCAATTGATGGCACTTGTTGGTGCAGGCGGCGGCGCAGGCGGTGGCACAGGCCGTGGTTGCGGCAGCTACTCGCTTGGACCCAGCCGCAGCTTCCTGCCGGCGGCGGCAGCGGCAGAGGAGACCGCAGTGAACCGAGTGGCCTGGGATGCCCGGGGAAACCTTCGCGGTGCGACGAGGAGGTGCTCCAGATGAGAACGCCGCGACGGTCGCGCAGAAAATGCGCCGCTCGCTTCTGCTCTTCGCCGGGAGGTGGAAATCATCCCCCAGACTCGTTCGAATAAACCGATTTGACTCGTACGGAGATGGCCAAAAATACATTCACATTGCACGTTAGCCGAGCGATGCAGTGCAGATACAAAACTACCAATCGCTGGGAGGTGCGTCCTATGTATGTATGTATGTTAATCGGGGGTGCGTCGCGCGTGTCTAACAGAGACAGTGTGAGTTCTAGAGACGCTCTGCCTCCCTCTCGCTTCCTCGCTCTGTTTCCTCCTCTCCCTCTAAGCCTCTATCTCCCTCCCTGCTGCCCTCTCTATCCCTCCCCATTCCCCTCTCTCGCCACGGTCAGCGGTGGCGGTGGACTGGGAGTTGGGGCCAGGGCTTCTTCTCTCTGTTAACCTGTCCCCCCCCTCTCTCTTCAGAGTGAGCAGCGGCGGGTGAGCTGGCTTGGGTGAACGTCTGCGGATGAGCAGCTACAGGTCAGCCGCTACGAGTGAACAGCTGTGGGCGAGCGGGCCTGGGTGAGCAGCCGCAGGTGAGTGGCTGCGGGTGAGTTGGGGCGGTTTGCTACAGTGGGTGAGCTGCTGTGGGTGAGTGGGGGGGCAGGTGAGTTGCTGCGAGTGAGTGGGGACGGGTGAGACGTAGTGGGTGAGTGGGGGCTGGGGCCAGGTGATGGGTGGAGCGCTCTAATCAACCCCCCAGGGGTACCAGAGGCCCCCTCCCCGAGGGAGCGCCGGGCCCCGTGCTCGCGACGGCTCCACTCCGCTCCACGCCGCTCGCCCCGCGCTGCAGCCGTCGCCCGCGGGGAGGGAGAGGAGGCAGCCTTGGCCGCGATTTTTATTAAAGGAGAGATGGCGGGGAGAGGTGTAACAGGTCTTGAGATCTGACAAGGACCTGGCTATTTAAAAGCGGTAAGCCCATTGTAGGTGACGTGCGTTGTGCGTCATCGTTCAGCGTTGAGGAAGAGCAGCGGTGGGGTTCCGGCGTAAGCTCGGGGCCCCAAACAGCTCAAGGAGGATGGGGATAATTGCTGCGTACCAGCTAACCCCGTCGGCTCAAATTCGGACCCCAATTAACGTAACGCCAATTAAAACGTTTATTGGGATTTGAACTCGAGCCGATATTTGACGCGCCCTGACGATTGTCATGAATCCGGGGCCCTTTTAGCCGCTTGGGGCCCGAAGCTTTTGCTTGGTGCCTCGTGCCGACGCTGGCCAGTCGGCCTCCTCGCTGCGGATGTATTTACTTCTCCTGCTGAGACGGACTTAACTACATTATTCACTTCCCCTTTAAAGGAATTAACGTTTCTTTAAAGTGTTTGCGGGCTACCTGGCGTTTGCGTAATTAGTTTCCTATAGCCCCTCTCCTCCTGCTGCTTTTGTGTATATATATTTTTTTGCTCTTCCAGTCTGCGGAAATGGAACAGCCGGGAGTGAGTAACACGCGTGGGACATGCGTGTGTGTGGGGAGCGGCAGTGTGGCGTTACGCTGCGCTACAAAGCCGGCGACCCGAGCTCGATTCCCACGCACGGCCAACACCAGTGACGAATATCTGAACTGGTCCTGGGCCTCCCCTGGGTCGACTCGGCCTCAAATAAGTACCTGATGCGGTGTATAAACATCTGCACTGGGGAGACAAAGGCGGCTGGGTACGTTTGCCGGCCACCCATCCTTTCGTGTGCCGTACCGACCTTCGTAGGTCTTCGCCAACAGCACTTGTCCTTGCACCCTGTTAAAGCTACACGGGGGATCTTTTTGCGAGTGTTAGCTCGGCCACTCGTGCAGTCGCCCACTTCACATCCCACCCGCTCCCTCGCCTTCACCGCTAAACGAGAGGAGGGTATTTGGCCTACTCTTCCACGTTGACCGGACGTGTTGGAAGGTGTGGGCGTACCCACGTTTTACCCCACCGCACGCGCGGCCTGCCGAACGACTCGCTGTGACGAACCCACTTGCACTGCCGGGGGTGAATCGGGGTCGGCGGGGGGATTCCAGACGTCCGCACCGTCGGTTCAGCCGCCGTGCGGGGAGATGGAATTGAACCGGTGACCTCTGCTCAGCAGGCGGCTTCTGTCCGCTCCTGCTGAAGAGGACTACGCCTTGGATAGCCGAGCCAGACTGCGTGAGAGCCACCGGTTTAACCATTACGCGTTTACCGGCATTGTCCTGGGACTCTCATCAGCTGGGCTGAGGAGATGAGAGATGAACTTCTCGCCGCGGGGGGCGTGGGGGGGTTCAAGCGGGAGAGACGAGAGCTTGTAGGGCGCTCAGTGGACCTCAGAGTCGCCCCTCCCCACTCATTTCCTACTCTAAGCTCGTTTGACGCAACGAATTGACCTCGTTTTTTTTCTCACCGCGGGGAGCGGCGGCGCGGTGGTTGGCACACCCTTGCGCCGTGAACCCCCGATGACCAGAGCGTGAGTCTTGGCCACGGCTAACGGCAGTGGGGAGTGATGCCCGGACCAGTCCTCGGCATCCCCTCCTAGATCAACCCGCACCGACCCCGCGTGGTGAAGTACGTCGTGGCGTGGGGCGGACTTCATCCAGCAGTGGATTGACAAAAGGGTGATTGTTCTTTCGGATTCTTATTATTATTAAGATCCCATATATATACAGAGAGAGGTGAATATATTGACCCGAGGTTGATTCCCTACTAGGGCAGCGTCAGCAGTGGAAGGTAGTGAAACCCGCGCATCGTCCAGCCCACGTCCCGGCACGCAGCAGCACGGCTATCGGGTGCCGTGCAGGCGGTGTGACTGCACCGGGGCCCGTGGGCCAAAGGAGCCCAGGTGCTGGGCTACAAAGAGAGGGGATGTCGCACGGGGGGGGAGGGGCGGGGTGGTGGGGGGGGGGGACTCCCCATTGGCACCACCGGTTACCCGCGCCAGCCACGCTGCACCACGCCGCTGGGCCCGGCTACCCGGCGGTGCGGCGGGAGAGGGAGAGAGAGGTTGCTCCCCCGTCCCGGCGCCCGCTGGGCTCCGGGCACCGGGAACAAATCACGATTACGGTAATGCCGCGTGGCAGGGCTAAGTGGGGCTGCTAATTACGCTTTGGCAAACAAGGGAGGCACGGCGGCGCTGGTGAGCGGCGGCGCGGTGCGCAGGCCCTCCCTGTGAGATGCTCTGCTGCGCAAACACTGATTAAAGTGACGCCTCTTGCCAATCGGCGGGAGGGTCGCTCGTTCTCCTCTGCTGCTCCCACGGTCTGAAACTTCCCTTGCGCCAGCCGTAGGGGCAGCAGGGTGGCGTAGCGGTGACGTCGTGCAACACAGCAGCCCGGGTTTCATTCCTGAACTGGGGTGTCTCTCTGTGTGGAGGTTGTATGTTCTCCCCCTGTTCTGCGTGGATTTCTTCCAGCTTCTTTGGTTTCTTTCCATAGCTAAAAGCCCCACACAATGTAACCAAACGTCCCATTGTTTAAAAAAATCGCTCGCAAATTACTCGGTTGGGCTCACACAGCGGCATCATCATCGCCCCCCCGTACTGCGAAAACTTGTAAAAAGAGTCTTGAGATTCTCTCCTAGGTAAAGCTTTGCTCGGTAAACAAGCGAAATAACTTATAATAATAATTCACGGCGTCGATTCAGTGTCCGTGTTCAGTTCCAGCCCCAAGCCCTTCCATTATTTCCTGTGCCTGTGACTGGTGCGGTTCTCTACAGCGTCTTCAGATGTGGTGGCGTTTAGACCCGGACATATATAAACCCAGATATTTAAACTTGGCTATGTAAACCCAGATATATATAAGCCCAGCTGGAAAACTTGCTATATAAACCCGGATATATAAGCCTCGCTCTATTAAACTGCCTATATAAACCTGGTATATTAACTCGGCATCATAAACCTGAATTGTATTCTGTAACCCCTGGAAGGGATAATGATTCCACAAGCTGAAAGCTTCCTTGCCACGATTTGATAAAGCAGAACGCAACTCTATCAGAATCTTTGTTTAGACTGCAGGAGGAGGAATCCGATGAGTTATGAAGCAAATTTTCACAGATGTCCAATAGAGGGGCAGGTCAGCCAGTTACAATTAGAACCGGATTAATTGAACGGCGCAGTGCAATGCAGTTAGACTTCATGAAGTGGCTAAATCATCTATTACCGTACCCAATGTTGCATATGTCTTGTGTTTGTACATGTCTGTGTTTTTGAATGGATCATTATCATCATGACCACCACTATCAGCTATGATCCATGCATTGCTGGATGAAGGTCTCCCTAATCCGTCACAGTCTCCCTCTCTCCCACGTTGTTACCATGGCTGGTTGGCCAGGCCAATCGGTGCCCCGTGCTGCTGAGTGCATTGTGAGTGCACCCTTGGTCCCCCTCTGTCTCTCGGGGGCCCTCGCTGCCCCTTGCAAGAAAGGGAAGTGGATTTTGCCGAGCCACCCCTCCCCGCGGCCGCCGCTGCCCTGTCATTCTCATGCTAATGGCCTCACAATTAGCCGGCCCTCCATCGCGGCCTCATTAGCGTATTGCCCGCTAATGATTCTCCATTCTCGATGCCTGGCAGGCGGCTTCTCAGCCCTGCTGCCCTCGGGGGGGGGGGGGGGAAGAGTGTCGTCGTCCGCCCGTCCGGGCCGCGTGTTCCGCCACCGTCGCGCCCCGGGGCGAGCGCCGAGCGGCGATGAGGAGGCGGAGGAGGAGGCGGAGGAGGAGGGAGGAGGAGGAGGTGGGGAAGTCCGCGCGAGCGCCAACGCCGCGGACAGATGGCGGCGGGGCGGGCGGCGGTCCGACGTCGCGCGCTTTGTTGGGGCTACGGGCGGCCTCCTCCGCCCGTAGCCCCCACGACGCGCGTCTCGCTCCATTTGTCCCGCTCTGTTCTCCGGGTGTAAAGATTAGAGGACGCGCATAATGCAAGAGGCTGCGCGCGCGCGTATGCGTGTGTCTGTGCGGGGAGCGGCGGCAGCAGCAGCAGGGGCTGTTTGATCTCGGTCTCTACCCTCCTCGCGCCGCCTCCTGTGGCTGCCTCAATTAGAGCGGGGTTAATCTACCCACCTGTGTGCCCCAGTTTAATTATCTCTTAAAGAGGCATGAAGACATCGATTTGTCAATTGAAAAAAAAATAACAACGGAGTTTTGTTTTTGGGTTTCTTTCCGACTTCGGTGCGTGTTTTTTTTTAGGCTCGTTCTGCGCGGCGTCTAACGTTTCGGTACCACCTGCTGGGAGCTCCTTGGAGAGCAGGAAAAAACATGCTGTGTGGCTGGGAGCCGGCACTGTGGGGCTGCCTCCCATCCTGCGCGCTCGGAGAGTTTCTCATCCCGTCGCCTGGCACCGTTTGTGGCGCTCGCGTCCAGCTCCGTGAGCCGACGGACTTCCGGGGAGGAACGGAAGATTTTTGTAATTGTGGCCGAGTGTTGTTCCTCTGGAAATCTTTATATTCACAGATTGAGAGACACAGAGAGATGGGTAAACATTCTTCGAAGGTGGATAAGACCTTCCTCCTTTCCACGTGATGATGAAAGCTCTGCCATTGGTCCACAAGAGCAGGAATCGGCGAGATGTTAACTACCTCGCGTGGTATACAGAGGGTCGTGGGTTCGATGCCAACCCTGACACTTGTTGCATGAATGGAGTTCGCATGCTCTCTCAGTGGTCGCGTGGATTTTTCTCCAGTTCTTCCGGTTTTTCCCTCGGCAATTAGAATCGGCATGCTTTTAGAGTATTTGGTTACTAATAATTTCCACATGATGAGCCACTTCGTTGAGCTATCATTTGTGTCCAGGTCGCCTCTGAAAAAGAGCTACGTAGCTAAGTAGGCCTGACCTCATGAAATAAAAAATAGTTAAGATTAGTTTAAACCCATCCTGTACATCTGGGAAAGCGATCGGATTGTTGCATGGATCGTTTAGCATGGTCGGTAATTTCTACAGGAGCAGTGAGTCATCGTGTGACCTTCCCGAAAACCAATTATGCGCTAATGTATTTTATGAGCGCGTCTTTATTTTGTAAACACGCCATTACTGATCAGACACCGCAAAAAGAAAACGTCACCGCCTTCCACTCGAGCTGGGAGATCCCTCGCCATTCCGAGCCCGGTGCCGAGTGATATCTGAAGCGCTCTTGGGCAGCACTACCCCCTCCCCCAACCCCCCTTCACCGCCCCACGCACATCTGCACGGTTAAGTATGGTCAAATATCCCCCATGGCCGATACTTCTTGGAGAGATAGAGACCTTCCATCCAACATTAAACTGACCGCGGATTCTGTAATATATGGTACGGTGCAAATTATGGTGGCATAGGGTGGCATCATTTGATGTGGTATCAAGTTTCAAGTTGATTTCGTTTCACCAGGCGATGACTCAAAGACACCAGGACGTGAGCCTCATTTGCAAGAGTGACGCGGGTCACAATTTCACAAGCAAAACAAATAACATAAAATACAGCACCGCGGCGAATAGAAATCTGGACAAAAACAACTGCGGCACACGAGATAAATGTGGCGCGTTGGCACGGCGGTGCGGAGTGGTGCAGCGTGGCGCGACCGCATTGTGGCGGAGCGTGGCGATGGAGCGGCGAGTCCCGTCGCCGCGTGTCGCGGCACGCGGGGGTCGTTTGTTTTGTCACGGCGCGGCACGGCGCGGTGGGACGTGGCGCCGGGCGGGCGCGGAGGAGGAGGGGCGGCGTGACACGAGGCGGCTGCCGGGAACGCTCATGGGCCCCGACAGCCGGGGTCTCGGCGGGGGGGGGGCCCATCGGGCTGGGGGCCTCGGCCTCCGTGCCCCCACCCCCACCGCTGTCCGCTCTGCGGCGGAGTGGCTGGCCGCGCCGCGCTCTTAATGCGGAGCTACGTCTGCTGCCGCGTGGGGGTCGCGCTCTTGTTTATTCGCCCGCTCGCTCTCCCTCTCGGAGCTTTCGTCGTTTTGTTTCTGTCCGCGCGGCCACCGCGCAAAATTCCCCGGCATTGGCTCGGCACGCGCGTGGTCTGTGCACGGCGAGCGCGAGGGTTCGGGGTTCGCCGGTGGGCGAGGCCGCCGGCGGGATGTCCTGGCCCAATTTGTGTCGTTGAGACCGCCCCTCCAATGTCGCTCGGTGAGCGCGGAGAAGCGACGGAGGTTTGGTCGTCGTTATTATCTGTGATCCAAAAAATCGTCGTCATCAATCTTGAGTTGAAGCTTTCGTGACTGCAGGAATCCATACTCTTTGGTTCTTTCGGTAAAGTCACGTGGGTAGAAATAAATTAAAATGAAACAAATCACGACGTTTCGATTGCAACAACAAGCAATCATCATCAGCCACTGCTGGATGAAGGGTTCGGGTATATGATGGTATACGGACTAGATATGAGAGTATACAGACTAAAGCCACACACAATCAGGTTTCAGGAGTGGTTTTTTTTGTTCCAAACAATAACAATGAGAAGTTATTCTTTCTTGCACACATATCGAATCGTCGACTTGTTGGCTTGAAGACTACCTTGAGCAGAGAACATGAGTACCTGGCCGATGAACAAACACGACCACAGCTGGCACCGTTTCTAAATCACAGTCGCAAATTCGAATCACCGGCAAGAGAAAGTCACGTGGGTGATGTGCATCATCATCGTCGTCGTCGTCGTCATCAGCCATGGTCAATCCGCTGCTGGTTGAAGGGCTCGCCTAGCCGTCTTAACCTCTTCTCGACCCTCCAGTGTACTCCTAACAATCTGCCACGTGCTCGAGCGCGAGCTGCTTTCATCGCTCCATCCCCTCGGCGGCCATCCGCCCCAGGAGAGAATAGAAACCTGCGGTGGTGTCGGTTCCGCATTGTTCGGCCAACACCGGTGAAGGACAGCAGACACTGAAAACAGTAGGAGCTGCTCAATAAATAATAAGGCGATGATGCGCGGTTTTTCTTCCGCACGGTTGTGTATATGACTACATAGGTCGGCTCAGCCTCAAATGCAGTACCTGTGGCGGTGTGTAAACATCGCCACTATGGAGACAAAGGTGGCCGGGCGTGGTGCTGGCCACCCATCCGGCTCCTCCTGTGCCGTGCCGGCCTTCACAGGTGCGGCGACTCTAACAGCACTTGCCCCAACAGTCCGTTAAGGCTATAACGGGGGATCTTTGTCCTTGTTATGACTAAATACGTAGAGCTATAAAGCACCTTGAATGTCCCCATCTCGTCATTTCTCGAAATCCACGGAAGGGTTGATCATGGATTGAGCTCAGAAAGGCAACCACCATGCATAGCAGCTGGTACAGGATGCTGCTGCTCCTGCGGGGCTAAGTAGGCGCAGAAGAGGGCATTGCAAGACATCCTTTATTTTTTAGCACAGTACCGTGCTTCTATGATGCCCACACCAAAAAGAGGCTTTAGATAGAAGACGTGGGATGCGGGCAGCGGAAACGACTGTGGGCAGCGCGGAGATTTTAAACACGACGGACGGGCGGTGGGGGCAGCGCTGTAGTCACGTGTCTGCTGCTGCTGCCTCGAACCGAGCGCTGCGGAGGTAGCAGCAGCAGCAGCAGCGAGGGTTGGTGGATTACCGCGCACAGATGCCGTGAAACTTCCTTTCCGTGGGCTTCGAGGAGGAGCGATGAGAAAGGAGTACGGGCAAGTGGACTCATCAACCATCCGTACGGGGGATAGAGCGTTGCCCCTTTGCACGCGTGCGTTCTCTCCGGGTGCTCCGGTTACCTCGCATACATTTCCCAAACCCTCGTCATTACTTGGCTGTAACATCTCGCAATGCAAACCCGATGTGGCAGGAACCTCCTGAAGACGAGTCCTGCGGCTCTGCGTGGCTTTCCCCGATAAATAACTGCGTAAATCACGGCGATGCCTCGACTTGCCACCTTCGAGTTGAAACTGAGACGCACCACGATAATAATGATTTCGCAGTACCCGAACATGGGAGAACTATACATGTGATCGCATCGTCTTGAGCGCTGTGTTATTATTATTGTTGTGATTAGTGCGCAACAGACAGAGACCGGGAAATTCTGTTGCAGATTTCCCAAGGACAGCTGCCTCAACAAGAGGATGTCTCTGGGAAGACCGGAACAGGTGGCAACCCCCTAACAATGCCACTGAGATGCAGCGTTGAATGGCACGGTGTGTTAACGCGGTCGCGTTTCAAATTAATTTATTTTTCAGATCTGTGATGGGGGGGGGGGGCGACGGGGGGGGCTCACCCCCCTTGCACGCTCCTTCCCTGACTTCCTCACTCAATTGCTCCCTCGCTCCATCGCTCACTCTTTTCGCTTCCCTCCACTCTCTCGTTCGCCCACTCACTTCCACAGCCGCCACCGTCGTGAGGTCGTTATTTATTCACGATGCCATCCCTTGTGCCCAAGCGTTGGCGCGAGACGCTCCGTGCCACGCGGGGCACGTGGGGGGGGAACACGGGCTGCTGGTGCCCAGGGTGGGCCGGGTGAGGGCAGGCGGGTGAGTGAGTGGGATAACTGAGTGGCTGGGTGGGTAGGCGGGTGGGTGAGTGGCTGGGTGGGTAGGCGGGTGGGTGAGTGGCTGGGTGGGTAGGCAGGTGGGTGAGTGGGATAGCTGAGTGACTGGATGGGTAGGCGGGTGGGTGAGTGGGATAGCTGAGTGGCTGGGTGGGTAGGCGGGTGGGTGAGTGGCTGGGTGGGTAGGCAGGTGGGTGAGTGGGATAGCTGAGTGACTGGATGGGTAGGTGGGTGGGTGAGTGGGATAGCTGAGTGGCTGGGTGGGTGGTTGGGCACTGATGATGGGGCCCTGACAGCAGCAAGGGGCATGGTGGAGCCACTCTCCAGGTCATAGGGGGTCGAGTATTTGCTGCTACAAGTGTTAACGGGAAAAGCCACTTGGTTGAACTATCAATTGTGGCCAGGTCGTTTCTAAAACAAGAGCTCTATAGCTCAGTGGGCCTTACCTGGTAAAACATTCTGTGTATTCTATGGTTCTTTCGGTAAAGTCACGTAAATATATATAAAAAAAATAACAATAAAATAATAAAAGTGAAAATAAAGTGAATAAAAATAATAAAACATAGTTACATGTGTGGGCCTCTGTGTGCCTCCTATGGTTATTCCCCTTCACTCGCCCCTCTCTACCCCCCACCGATCAGTGAAACCTCGATGAACTCCAGTTTAATCATCGCTTCATCTTTGGTTTTTTTCTATTGCGTCATTATTTTCTAGCCCTCCCCCATCCCCGCGATCTGTAGAACTCGTGCTGTGTTTCGAATGCCACTGAGAGTTTCAGGTGGAGAGCTCCTCCCCCATGCTCCTACAGATTGTGCAACACCTCCTGAGAATACCTACGGCAAAGACAAAGATCCCCCGTGTAGCCTTAACAGAGTTTCGGGACAAGTGCTGTTAGCGAGTAGCAGCACCTATGAAGGCCGGCATGGCATGCGAGGGGGTGGGTGGCCAGCACCACGCCCGGCCGCCTTTGTCTCCCCAGTGGCGATGTTTAGGGGCTGTCCATAAATGGCGTCACGTGATTTTGGAGGATTTTTTACCCCCCCCCCTCGTCACACGGCGTCACAAAAAGTCAGACCCCCCCTAAAATATGACGTCACAAAGCTCTGCCCCCCCCCCCCCCAAAAAAAATCCATTTTGAAAATAAAACATGCTTCAAATCACTTTAAACTATTGCCATTGTAGTCCGTATTTAATGTGGCACTGCACTGATGTTGTAGGAGTGTTATAACAATGTCTCAAACCCCCCCTACCTCGTCACACATCGTCACAAATGTCTGACCCCCCCAGGTGCGTGACGTCATTTATGGACGGCCGCTTACACACCGCACCACGTGAGCACACACACAGCCACTAACCCTGTCTCCCTGTCTCTTGTGAAAGTGTAACGATAATCAAGGGTCTGTATGTGTCTCAGTCTGTAACATCGTGGATAAAGTGAATTATCTACAGCCATAGTTTTTCCTCCACTTGATATTGTCCAGGGAGTACCATAACTCTGTCCCTTTACTCCCCCACCCGCCTGCCTGCCCTCCTGTCCGTCTGGAGAAAGGAGGCTGGACTTGCCTCTGCGCCCACACCACACTGACGGAGCTTCCTCTCAACGCTGTCTTCCCGGGGCCACGTCCCTCGCCTGAGACATCCCACGGTGCCGTCTCTGGAGAGAATCGGCCGTCCCATCTCGGCCTGATCGGTGGACGCCTGATCGGTGGACGCCTGATCGGTGGACGCCTGATCGGTGGACGCCTGATCGGTGGACGCCTGGCTGCTCCCGCTGTCTACGCTCGGAGTTTCTTCCAAGTCACCCTCCCGGATCCCTACCTTCACCGTGACGGCACTGGGGACTTGGGCCCCTCTCGACCTCCGTTGTGTCCCCCCTCCGCCGCCAAAGCTGAGAGAAGGAAGCATTCTAACATTGCAGAAGTGAAAGGGGACCGCATGCAACAAAAACAATGATGCGTGACTGAAAGTAGCCCGGGGGTGCGCTGTCCAGGGTGGAACACCGCACGGGTGAACAAGAAAGACCCTGCACACGAATGTGGTAGCTACGCCAGTCTGCTCCGCGCTGTCTGATGGCACCGGGACACTCCATCATTAGATCATCGCGATTTTCGTTTTGCAGCTCGTGGGGCGACTTGATTGTTCTTGCGCACACTCAGCAAGATTTGGACCGATCGGTCAACGGTTCGTCGGCCTGGAACTCACCTACCTACTCATCCACCTACTCACCCACCCACTCACCCACCCACTCACCCACCCACTCACCTGCTCAGCGGTCCATCGGCCTGGAACTCACCTACCTACTCATCCACCTACTCACCCACCCACTCACCCACCCACTCACCCACCCACTCACCTGCTCAGCGGTCCATCGGCCTGGAACTCACCTACCTACTCATCCACCTACTCACCCACCCACTCACCTACCTACTCATCCACCTACTCACCCACTCATCTACTCAGCAGTCCGCCGGCCTGGAACTCACATACCTACTCATCCACCTACTCACCCACTCACCCACCCACTCACCCACCCACTCACCTGCTCAGCGGTCTATCGGCCTGGAACTCACCTACCTACTCATCCACCTACTCACCCACCCACTCACCTACCTACTCATCCACCTACTCACTCACCACCTCACCTACTCATCCACCTACTCACCACTCACCCACCCACTCACCCCCCACTCACCTGCTCAGCGGTCCATCGCCTGGAACTCACCTACCTACTCATCCACCTACTCACCCCCCCTCACCTACCTACTCATCCACCTCTCACTCCACCCACTCACCCACGCACTCACTGCTCAGCGTCCCCGGCCTGGAACTCACCTACCTACCACCACCTACTCACCCACCCACTCACCTACCCTCATCACCTACTCACCTCATCTACGCGGTCCTCCCCTGGAACTCACCTACCTACCCCTACCCCACCCACTCACCCCCCACTCACCTCTACAGCGGTCCGCGGCCTGGAACTCACCTACCTACTCACCTCCTACTCATCCACCTACTCACCCACCCACTCATCTACACAGCGGTCCGCGGCCTGAACTCACTCTACTCACCTACTCTCCACCCTCATCTACTCATCGCACTCTACTCACCTACCCACTACTCATACTCACTCAGTGGTCAATCGGTCTGGAACTCATCTACCTACTCACCCACCTACTCAGCGGTCCGTCACCCCGGAATTCACTGCCGCTGCATGTTCGAAAATCTTTACGGACATTTAACAAGTTCAGTGGAAAATGCAAGATGGAATTTCTTAGTGGAGCGTCCAATGTATGAATATTTCCCACACATGATATGCTAGGTTAGAGTTGCGTGTTTGTAAATGTACTAACTAAAAACAGCACGCGCGTGCGTGTAGAGGAGAGACACAGCAGAAAGAGAGCACAGGTTGAGTTCAAAGCGAGCGCACTACTTCAACAACAACAACAACCGCCATTCGCCATTAAATGGCGGTGACGTCACGGCGCTTGTGCCAGGCTATGTGCACGGTAAGGCCACGTGAAGTGTCGAACGCCCGCTGGCAGGAGGTCACGGGACAGACCCAGCTACCATGGGTCGACTGACTGAGATGGCTGGCCGATGCACCACCTGTGCCCCCTACTGTGCCAACTTTGCTGTGCTTTATCCACCCGGCGGCGCTCCGCTCGTTGTTGTGAGCTCCGCTTGCCCTCCGTTGCTGGAAGGCGACTGCCTCCAATTGCCCAGTAGCAGCGTCCATCACGAGCCTCCTCCACAGCAGCCAATCTTGACACCGCTGGTACCGGTCATCGGCAAGTCCACACAGCTCCACATCCTCTTGTACCACATCACTCCATCTCTTCTCTAGCCCATGCTGCGCTCTATCCGGCCGAACAAAAGCTGTTTTTGTTCGGCACTGCTTCACGTTCACAATGACAGACAATCCTTGATTGTGCGTGTGCCCATGGGCAGTGAACGGAGGAGGTGTTGGAAGAGAGTGCAAAGGAGGGATTCTGCAATTTCTGTGCTGTTAACTCGCCCTAGCCACGAACTAAACTACGCAAATACAACAACTGCACTCAAGAAGAGATACATTCGTGTCTTGGAACACAAATAAACACCAATTATAGAGAGAACATTTTTAAATAACTCGCATTAGCGAGTTCACGGCGCAGTGCGTAAATGGATCCTTTAGGAATGCAATCGCAATGTGTACGGCGTGGAGAGGTTGCGCAGTGGTTTGCACGCTGCGCTGTAAACCCCCGCCACCCGAGTTCGATTTCCAGACGCGGCTTACATCGGTGGCAAATGATATCTCACTGAACTGGTCCACGTGGCCATTCCCACCCCCCCCCCCCACCTTCACCAACCACGTTGACCAGTGTGGTAAAGTGTGGTGAAGTGTGGTAAAGTGTGGTGAAGCGTGGTCAACACAACCACCACGTCCAATCCGGCTCGGTGAGGCAGTGGATTCACAAGGGGCGGTAAATGAGAATGAAGTCCAACATCGTGAGACTCCAGCACGCGATCGGCGCACTGGAGTGGATTGACAGGACGGTCGACATTCTGTCCGTTCATGACCTCTATCAGGGGTGCATTTTATAAACTAAAACGTTGTGTTCGCGTCGCGGCGTGATGCATCTACATCGCTTTGTCTCGATACCAAAACCCCCGCTTGCAAATTCATGCACGTTACACAAATCGCGCAGATGAGGATCGTGGTAACACAAGTGGCTCTCTGCCCCCCCCCCTGCCTTGTCCCTCGTCCCCCCCCCCCCCCTCTCTCATCTCTGCGGGTACACGAGACCGAGTGTGAGGCAGGAGACCTGACACCATGCGACATTCGTGCCGCGGAGTTTCCAGACTTCTCTCTCCGTCTGTCTGCGCGCGCGTGCACAGAGAGGCCCTCTCGCTCGCTCGCTCGCTCGCTCCCTGCCTTCATCTCCCCGTCATCTCATTATATTTAATTTCTGCGTTGCGCAACGCAACAGCTTGCAGTCGTCTGTCGGCGGGCGAGAGACGGAGCAAGGGTCGAGTTGAGGAGGGTGGCAGCGCAGTTGGGGAAAGGATGACGGTTGGGAAGAGAACAACAAAAGTCGTCAGAGTCGTTTGCAGGATTTTGTCCCGGTGAATATTCGTCGCGTTTCTGCGGCGGCGCGTGAGGTGGCGGTTGAAGCAACGAGGGAGGCGAGGTCGGTAGGGTGGGTAGGGTAGGTAGGCCTGGCTGGCGTTAGTCGACTAAGGGCAGTCTCGGTAAAACACGCAACGTTGAGCCAACGTTGGTGGACGTTGAGCCAACGTTGGTGTAGGTTGGGCTAACGTTGGTGGACGTTGGGCCAACGTTGGTGGACGTTGGGCCAACGTCGGTGGACGTTGGGCTAACGTTGGTGGACGTTGAACCAACGTTGGTGAGCGTTAGGCCAACGGTGGACGTTGAGCCAACGTTGGTGGACGTTAGACCAACGTTGGTGGACGTTGAGCCAACGTTGGTGGACGTTGGGCCAACGTTGGTGGACGTTGAGCCAACGGTGGACGTTAAGCCTACGTTGGACGTTAGGCCAACGTTGGTGGACGTTGAGCCAACGGTGGATGTTGAGCTAGCGTTGGTGGACGTCAGGCCAACGTTGGTGGACGTTGATCCAATGGTGTATGTTGAGCCAACGTTGGACGTTGAGCCAACGTTGGTGGACGTTAGGCCAACAGTGGACGTTGAGCGAACGTTGGTGGACGTTGGGCCAACGTTGGTGGACGTTGAGCCAACGGTGGACGTTGAGCCAACGTTGGTGAACGTTTAGCTTACGTTGGTGGACGTTGATCCAATGGTGTATGTTGAGCCAACGTTGGACGTTGAGCCAACGGTGGACGTTAGGCCAACAGTGGACGTTGAGCGAACGTTGGTGGACGTTGGGCCAACGTTGGTGGACGTTGAGCCAACGGTGGACGTTGAGCCAACGTTGGTGAACGTTTAGCCTACGTTGGTGGACGTCAGGCCAATTTTGATGGACGTTGAGCCAACGGTGGATGTTAGGCCAACATTAGTAGACGTTGGGCCAACGTTGGTGGACGTTGGGCCAATGTTGGTGAACGTTGAGCCAATGGTGGACGTTGAGCCAACGTTGGTGGACGTTGAGCCTACATTGGTGGACGTTAGGCCAACGTTTGACGTTGAGCCAACGTTGGTGGACATTGGGCCAACGTTGGTGGACGTTGAGCCAACGTTCGACGTTGAGCCAACGGTAGACGTTAGGCCAACGTTGGTGGACGTTGAGCCAACGGTAGACGTTAGGCCAACGTTGGTGGACGTTGAGCCAACGTTGGTGGACGTTGAGCCTACATTGGTGGACGTTGGGCCAACGTTGGTGGACGTTGAGTCAACGGTGGACGTTGAGCCAACGTTGGTGGACGTCATGCCAACGGTGGACGTTAGGTCAACGTTGGTGGATGTTGAGCCAACGTTGGTGGACGTTGGGCCAACGTTGGTGGACGTTGAGCCAACGTTGGTGGACGTTGAGCCAACAAGTTTGCATGTGTTCTGGGGTGGAGGATTACAGCTTCAAAAGCCACATTGTTTAAGCCTTCGCTAACGTCGGGAAACGTTCGATTGTGTTTGAATTAAGTTTGTCATGACCATGTTATCTTATACAGATGTGTACATAGAATGCATCTCTGAATAGCGATATGCAGGTTAAAGTCATAATTTAAACTGGAAGGAAAAGTAAGTGGGCTTGAACAGGTCACGTCGCTTTACAAAGGAATGATCGTCGCTGGTCAGGAATTGTTCAGGAATAATTGATCAGGAATAATCGCGGAATGGCAGCCCAAGGGGATGGAACGCGTCTGAGAGAGACATCCACCGTGGAGATGGAGCGGTCATGAACCCAGCTCGCGTGAAGGAGCCGGGTGGATTGTTTCGTCGCTGGACCATGAGAGATAGGGAGATCTTCATCCAGCAGTGGATTTACCATGGTTGGTGGCAATGTTAAACATATATCTAAAATTAGATTATACATTCACACATTTACAATTATTCATACTCCTTGGTTCTTTCGCTAAAGTCACGTAGGTATAAAATAAAATAAGTCACGACGTTTCGGGCGCAACACAAGCGTCCGTCACTAGGTGGGAAACCATGGTCTGCTGCTGAGGCAGACTGTTTTAAAAGCTTTGAAATGGGTGTAGCCCAAGGGTCATAAAGAAGTGGCCGGGGCTAGTGATGTTAATGTCAGAGATTAGCATGAAACTGTAAGATAGAAGGAGAGCGGCCTCTTAGACGAGGGCACGGAAGTGG